CTCCAGAAATCCATAAAAAATCTTTGGGGGGCCGAAGCGGGTTTGGCTTTGGATAGAGCGTGGGACCGATAGGTCCCAGGTTCGATTCCGGTCAGGGGCATGTACCTTGGTTGCGGGCACATCCCCAGTAGGGGGTGTGCAGAAGGCAGCTGATCGATGTTTCTCTCTCATCAATGTTTCTAACTATCTCTCTCCCTTCCTCTCTGTAAAAAATCAATAAAATATATATTTTTAAAAAATCTTTGGGGGGGGGGGGGTGGTTCCAGTAAGAGATAGTGTCACTGGGCTAGATCGGGGGGCGGGGGGGAAGGCAGGGGGGGGAATGTCCAGCCCACTGGCCATATAAGGCCGGTGAAATCATTTGGTCTGGCCCAGCCAACACATTAGGGGTGAGTTAATTAAGTGTTTGACCAAATAGGCTAATTTTTTAAGTTGATAATTTTGTACGGCCCATGAATGACGTTATAAATATGCAAATGGCTTGGCAAAAAAACAAAAACAAAAAACCCTGAACTGGGGATATGGCCAAAGAGACAAAGATGAATGGGTGTGGGGTGTTTTGGAAGTAGAATGGATAGATACTGCCAATGGGAAGGATGTCAGAGGTGAGGGGAAGGGTAAGAACGAGCATGATCTCTAGGTGTGGGGCCTGCGCAGCCAGGCAGGTGATGGTTGTGACCTTTACTGAGATTGAGAAAACACGGAGAGGAAAACATTTGGATCGGACATGTGAAGCTTGGTATTCCAGGAGGCACTAGATAAATCACTATCAGTGGCTTAACAACACAAAAAGTTACACTAAACGTGAAATAAGTCCCAAAACAGGCACCTGGGGCTTTTACAGCCGCTCCACGGCATCACCGGAGGCCCAGGCTCCAAGCAGCACAAAGGTGACCTGGTGGACAGGGGCCCTGGCCCCCTTTTCGGAAATCCTCCCCACATTTCCCCATGGCACTTTTCCTCGGACTCACTCCGCTGCAAGAAAGCCTGGGAGATACATCTCCGTGCGAGGCGGAGGGCAGCCGTAAGCTCCCATCAGGGCTCCTCTTCGGAGGAGAGAGGAAGGCTTGGGTGGCGGAGTAGAAATCCATGCTCTCTCTCTCGGCCTTCACCCCTTGGAATTCATCTTTTCCGCCCCTCGGCCCCCAAACGAGGTTGCCCATCCTTCCTGCAGGGAGGAGAGCACGCTCGATGGGATGTTACGGTGATTGGTGTCTAACTCCACATAAATCTGGAAAGGCCCTCCGGGACAGGGACCTTTTCTGACTCATCTCTGGGCACGCAGCCTGGGAAACCTACCACTGCCGAGGAAATCCTCACATGAATGGATAAGGCAGCCTGTAAGAGACACGGAGCGAGAGGTACACCACCAGGTGTGGCCGTGGTTCTTTTCTGCTCCAAAACCTACACCGGCCTTCCGGAGAAAAGCTATCATCTCCTTGCGTGGCTGTGAGGCCCTCGCCGGCACATCCCGAAACCCCTCACCAAAGCTGGACATACACCCAGACACCGGCGGTGGGGGTAGGTGTAAGTAAGATACCGAATCAGAGAGATCCGGATGCAGGTCCTGGGTCTGCCACCTCTTGGGCTGTGACCTTAAGCAAGTCATTTTCTCCCTCCGGACTAATGGTCTCGTCTATAAAATGGGAACTGGGAGAAAACGTGATGGGAAATGGGTGCCTACGTTAATTCAGATATTGTGATCATTTGCATGGAAATTATACAGGTAGTGTCCTCAGCACAGCAAGCGCCTAATGAACAATAGCTATTGTGATTGTGATTCTGACGATGACAGTGACAATAACGATGGTGATGCTGATGGTGATTAATCTCAGCTTCCAGCCTTCTTCCAGGCTGTTTTCTGTGCTGGAAACACCCCCTTCCTAATCACCTACCTTGTTCCTCTGCAGTGTTAATCAGAGCCCGTTAACATCCATAACAAACAGTCCTGGAACCTCAGTGGCATTACAAAAAAGTGCATTCCTCGCTCAGACAAGCCACAGGGGGCAGTGAGTCAGAGCCCCAGGCTTCCAGCTCGAGATCCTATCTTTTCTAAGCTCCCTGGGGTTCTCTCCATTCAGCCATTAAGAAGGAGTGATACCCTGGCTGGTGGGCTCAGTGGTTAGAGCATTGGCCCTTGAACCAAAGGGTCTCAGGTTTGATTCCTGGTCAAGGGCACATATCTGGATTGCAGGTTCGATCCCCAGCCAGGTTGGAGAGCATGCAGGAGGCAACCAATCAATGTATCTCACATTGATGTTTCTCTCTCTCTCTCTCTCTCTCTCTCTTTGTATCTCCCTTCCTCCCCCCACCCCTCCTTCCCATACTCTCTCTCTCTCTCTCTAAAAAAAAAAAAAAAAAAAAAAAAAAAAAAAAGGAAAAATATCTTCTGGTGAGGATTAATAAAAAAAAGGAAAAGAAAAAGAAGGATGTGAGTGAGATGAGCCAGTTTGGAAGAGGTGTTTCTCTCTTCCATCTACATCCTATTGACCAGAAGTCAATCATATGGCCCCACCTAAGTACAGGGAACCCTGGGAAATGTAGCTTAATTATGTGTTGTACCAGTTAACTTTGGGGGTGTAACAGCACATCTAAAATGTAGTGGCTTTAGCCTGGCCTGTATGGCTCAGTAGTGGAGCATTGATCAATGAAACAGGAAGCCATGGTTCAATTCCCCATCAGGACACATGCCTGAGTTGTGGACTTGATCCCCAGTAGGGGGCGTGCAGGAGGCAGCTGAGCAGTGATTATTGGTGATCATTCTCCCTCAGCATTGGTGTTTCTATCTCTCTCTCTCCCTCTCCTTTCCTCTCTGAAATGAATACAAATATATTTTTAAAAATAAAAATAAAGCCTAGTGGCTTTAAACCATCACGTTATTCGCTCCCAACGCTGGGATCAGCAGTTTGGACTGGATCAATGGGGCAGTTCTCTTGGTCACAATTGGGGTCACTCCTATGGCCGCAGTCACCTGCTGTCTCCCGGGGGCTGGTGCAGGGTGGCCTCAGGCACACGGCTGGCGTGGGACCGGCTATTGGCTGGGCTTCTCTCACCTTCAAGGAAGCTAATCTGGGCATCTTCACTCAACTGACTCAGGGCAGCAAGAGGCGGGAGCTGCAAGGTCTTTTGAAGCGTAGGTTCTAGCAAATTCTGTGGGTCAGAGCAAGTCCCAAGGCGTGCCCAGATTCCCAGGGTCTGAGTGCCTCAGTGGGTGGAGCCGCTAAGTCACCTTACAAAGGGCACGCATGCACGCACGCACGGAGAAGGGAAGCGTATTGTGGCCATCCCACCAACAAGCCAGGCGTGGAAGGCATGAGCCCAGGTGTGGAAGGTGAGGTTCAGGGAGCACCTCGCAGTGTCCCACCCCTGGTCAGCTCCTGTTTACTTGAGATTTGGATCCAATAGAGCTTTCTTCCAGAACCTTCTCTAATCTCCCATCTCTCTAGGCAGTCTTTTAAAAACAACTTAAAAAATTGTTTTTATTGATTTTTTTTAGAGTGGAAGAAAAGGGGAGGGAGAAACATGGATGTGAGAGAGAAACATTGATTGGCTGCCTCCTGCACATCCCTTAGCAGGGATGGAGCCCTGAACCCGGGCATGTGCCCTGATTGGGCATCAAGCTGGCAACCTGTTGGTACATGGGAAAACGCCCAACCAACTGAGCCACACTGGCCAGGGTTTTTTTGGTTTTTTTTTTTCACTTTTAGTGTTATTTTATGCTGAATTTACTCCAGGCCATACGTTTTTGTTTCTTCTGGAATATCTCTTTCTTCGTGCAACTTCCTCTCTGGTTTCGGTGTATCTGCTCTTCTTCAGAGGGACCATCTCCAGGCGGCAGGGAGAACTGAGCAGGTTAACCCGCCCATGAGCTCTGTATGTTTGCACTGCATCTTGGGAGCTTTTCACCTGGATGTACTCAGTGACCAGAGGATCTACATCTAAAGCTTTACGCTCAGCATTCTCTGCATTTTTTTAAGCAAAAATGCCGCACTTCTTGCCCGGCCCGTGTGGCCCAGTGGTTGAGCGTCAACCTATGAACCAGGAGGTCGAGGTTCGATTCCCAGGGCATATGCCTGAGTTGTGGGCTCAGTCTCCAGTGGGGCGAGCAGGAGGCAACCATTCAATGATTCTCTCTCATCGATGATGTTTCTGTCTGTCCTCTCCCTCTCCCTTCTCTGAAATCAATAAAAATATATCTTTAAAAATTCAGCACTCTTTTTGTGCTACTGACCCTGCATCCAGCCCCTCTTTAGCCTGGCACACCTACCAACCCCACCATTGTAATGACGGAATGGCACACACTGCTTCTGTAAAGTGACCTTCTGCAGATATTGGTGGCTTTTCTTTTTTTTTTTTAAATCCTCACCTGAGGATGTTTTTTTTCCATCGATTTTTTTTTTCTCAAGAGAGAGAGTGGAAGGGAGCGAGGGGTAGAGAGAGAGACAGAGAAACATCAATGTGAGAAATACACAGATTGCCTCCTGAACACACCCCAGCCCAGACTGGGATCGAGCCTGCAACCCAGGTACATGCCCTGGATCGGGAATCAAACCTGCGACCCTTCCGTTCCCAGGGCTGCCGCTCTAACCACTGACCCACACCAGCCAGGGCTGCTTGGTGGCCTTTCGAATGTGCATACCCCCGATGACCTGGGCAGTTACACGAGTGTTCTTAAAGTGATCACAAAGATTTGCACCTCTTCATTGGCAGGATTCTGTGGTTTTTCTGGGTCAGGTGACTTAGCAAACCATTTTCAGAGGGCATTCCGGCCGCTTTTGGGAAGAGTCCCCAGGCCGGCGTCTTGGCCTTCCTTTCCTCTGGGCTCCCAGGGTGCCCGGGGCAGCCCCCACCAGAGTCCCTCTCTTGGACTCCAGCCTGCAGGAAACGCTGGATGCGATACACTGAATGTGAGGGGAAGGAGAGGGATTGGAAGTTTGGATGGGAGAGCAACAGATGCGAGAGAGAATTGCAGCCATCAACGAGTCTCCTGTCCTGTCCAGGGGCGGGACAAGAAGTACAGACGGAGAACGTGACGGTGGCCGAGGGCGGGGTGGCGGAGATCACCTGCCGTTTGCACCAGTACGATGGGTCCATCGTCGTCATTCAGAATCCGGCCCGCCAGACCCTCTTCTTCAACGGCACCCGCGGTGAGTGCTGGGGTCCGAAACCCCGCCCTGGAGGAGGAGGGCTGGGAGCTGATTCCTGTGACCGGAAAGAGGGCAGAGCTGAGACTCTGGACTCCAGGGTCTGAGGGCGGAAGGGGCTGGGACTCGGGCTCCTGGGTCCTCACATAGCATGGAGCTGGGGGGGGGGGGGTTTGAACCCTGCTCCTGTGGGTGGGAGGTCCTGCATCATCCTGGTCCCCACGGGACTAGAGAGAGGGACAGAGAAACATCGATGTGAGAAATACATCCATGGGGGCATCTAGATACATAGGTCTGGCTGGAGCAAAGAGGCAGAGGGCTGGACTCCGAGCTCCTGGAGGAAGGGTCGAACCCCGGAGGCCAGGATTCCCCCCGTTCACTCCTGGTTCACTCACTCTAGCCCTGAAGGATGAGCGTTTCCAGCTTGAGGAGTTCTCCCCTCGCAGGGTGCGGATCCGGCTCTCAGACGCCCGCCTGGAAGACGAGGGAGGCTACTTCTGCCAGCTCTACACCGAGGACACCCACCACCAGATCGCCACGCTCACCGTGCTGGGTAACCACACCTCTCCCTCCCGCGGCCCACCCCCCCTCCTCCCTCCTCTGCCTTCCCTCATCCCGGGACCCTGCCCTGGCTGCTTTCAGCCTCCCGGACCTCAGGGCCCAGGCCACGGGGCTGGCCTGCCTGACCTCTGGGCTCTATGTTTGACCCTTGTTGCCTCAAACCCCCGCCGCCCGGTCCCTCTGAACCCACCTGGCCGGCTGCCCTGACCTCCCCGCTTCCCCGCTCCTCCCTGCCGCAGTGGCCCCGGAGAACCCCGTGGTGGAAGTCCGGGAGCAGGCGGTGGAGGGCGGCGAGGTGGAGCTCAGCTGCCTGGTCCCGCGGTCCCGCCCGGTTGCCGTGCTGCGCTGGTACCGCGACCGCAAAGAGCTGAAAGGTATGATCACCCCGGAAAGGGGGGTCCGCGGGGCGGGGCTTGGGAGGAGGCGGGGCTCCGAGGGGCGGGGCCTTGAGAGGCGGGTTTGCGGGGGCGGGGCTTGGAGGGGAGCGCATGGGGCAGGCGGGCATTGGCCAGCGCGGACAATGTGCAAGGTATTGAATACAATGACAGGTGGGAGGACAGGAAGAGCTTTGGGAAGAGGAACGTGGGATGGAGGGCCTGATTTGGAAGATTAGAGGCGGGGCCAGTGGCTTAAGGGCGTGGCTTAGCAGATAGCCTGCTTTGGGATTGGCTGCAGGGAGGGGAGAGGGCTACCCCCTCGGGGGCGGAGCCAGAATAGGGCTGAAAGACTTCCGGGTCGGCCGGCAGGTGTGAGCAGCAGCAGGGAGAATGGCAAGGTGTGGAGCGTGGCGAGCACCGTGAGGTTCCGCGTGGACCGCAAGGACGATGGCGACATCATCATCTGCGAGGCGCAGAACCAGGCGCTGCCCTCGGGGCACATCAAGCAGACGCAGTACGTGCTGGACGTGCAGTGTAAGTGCCCGGCCCGCAGGGACTCGGCGGGGTGGGGGGGTGGGGGAATGGGGGGCAGTCCCAACGCCAGCCGCTGGACCCCGGGAGGGTTCCAACCCGCGTGATGGCCCTGACAGCCACCCTCCCATCTCACTTCTGCCTGCAGACTCCCCCACGGCCCGGATCCATGCCTCGCAAGCTGTGGTGAGGGAGGGGGACACCCTGATGCTGACGTGTGCTGTCACGGGAAACCCCAGGTGAGCTTAGGGGCCTGAGACTCCTGAGGAGGGATCTTCTGATGCCTAGATGCTCCCTATCTAGATTCCGGAGAAGTCGGAATTGGGTGCTGGCGCCTGCGTCCCTTACTCTTTCTGTATTTTACCCTGGTCCAGGCCAAATCAGATCCGCTGGAGCCGCGGGAACGAGTCTTTGCCGGAGCGGGCCGAGGCGTTCGGGGAGACGCTGACGCTGCATGGCCTGGTATCCGCAGATAATGGCACCTACACTTGCGAGGCGTCGAACAAGCACGGCCACGCGAGGGCGCTCTATGTGCTCGTGGTCTACGGTGAGTGCAGGCTGCTGGGGGCGGGGTTCAAGGCAGGGGCGGGGCCTCCCGGGGTCCATGGGTGGGCGGGGCCTGTGCAAAGCGATTGATTCCTGAGGTCCAACAGTCCACAAAGTTCTTATAGATCGGAGGCCAGACTGACCGTCTGGGTTCAGTTTTGGCTCTTGCAACATCCTATTGCCAGTGACATGGTCTGCTCCTTAGTTTTCTCCTGGGTAAAGTGGAAATGAACAATAGCACATATTTCAGGGTTTATGGAGATTGTAGGAGCTAAATATATAAAGTGGTTGGAAGGACCCTCGCCGGTTCAGTGGGTAGAGCACCAGGCTGCGCACCAAAGGGTTCTGGGTTCAATTCCGGCCAAGGGCTTTGGTTGCAGTCAAGGCAGGTGTAGGAGGCAACCAATAGATGATGCTTCTCTGCCTTTCCCTCTCTCTTCCACTCTCTAAAAGGTCAGTGGGAAAATATTATCGGGGGAGGATTAACCAAAAAAATAAATAAAGTGGTTGGAAAGGCTCTAGCAAAAAAATGTTTAACTCTTACGACGGTGCAGCTGGAATTTTGGACGTGTTTGGGCCCTAGGCAGCATTTTAGACACCAGAAGCATTTTGGACGAAGTGAGGTGAGGGACTTGGACCCGAGGTTCTACGGGGGTAGAAACATGGTCCAAAGAAAAGGGGAGTGCTGTTCTGTTCCTTGGGGGACAGGAGGCTGAGCAGGTCCTCGCAAAATGACTCAGGAGCCAGTGGAGCGGTGTGTAATCCAACACATGTTCCTCCAGGTAGGGGCAACATCAGGAAAGAGGGAAGCCAAGCCGTGAGAAAGGCCCAGCAGGTGGCAGGAACTTGAGGCGCATGGCACATGAAGGGACGCGGTTAGAGGGTGGGTGGAATGATTTAACAGGTTGGCAGCGATGGACGGGGCTGGGACCATCCTCCCATCACCTGGTCCTGCGCCCTGTTTCTCTGGCAGACCCCGGTGCGGTGGTAGAGGCTCAGACATCCGTGCCCTACGCCATTGTGGGCGGCATCCTGGCGCTACTGGTGTTTCTGATCATATGCGTGCTGGTGGGCATGGTCTGGTGCTCGGTACGGCAGAAAGGTGAGTAGTAGTGGTGGGTTGTAGTTGGTGGTGGGGTTGTAGTTGGTGGTGGGGTTGTAGTTGGTGGGTTGTAGTGGTGGGTTGTAGTTGGTGGTGGGGTCGTAGTCGGTTACAGGATTGGTAAGGGGATGGGGTCTAGAGATGGAATTCAAGAGAGGGCAGAGCCTAGAACCAGGAATCAAACCCTGTGGGATCTGAAGCCAGTATTCCCAAAGGGGCGAGTGTTTTGCCCATAAATAACAGAGGTGAAAGGCTGAAGCTGAATTAAAAACGTGGGTTTAAATTAAATGACTTTGCCTTCCTAATTGCTGGATTCCTCGGGAACAGAGCAAGGGGATAGCACCAAGAGAACAGATAAGGGTTGATCTCTCCATGAGCTTTTGGTATCTTCCTATTCTACTTCGCCCCTTTCTCTGCCCATGTTGCCATTCCCTGGTCTTGATTCCCTCTGTTCCCTGCGTTCCTTTCCTCCCTCTTTCTTGTCGGATGTCTGTCTCCTGTGTCTCCTTCTTCCCGTTTATTTCTGCTTAACTCCTGGCCCACCCCACAGGCTCCTACCTGACCCACGAGGCCAGTGGTTTGGACGAGCAGGGAGAAGCGAGAGAAGCCTTCCTCAATGGCAGCGACGGACACAAGAGGAAAGAAGAATTCTTCATCTGACCCCATCTCTACCCCAGGCCTGGCCTGGGCTAGGGTCCACCCCACTGCCAGCTGCAAAGACATTGACCAGAGTCTGAGATGGTGGGCATCTCTCCCCACCACTAACACCTCAGACGTTTGGGCAGGGATGGGGGTGTCAAATGCCTGGGTCTCTGCGAGGGCCAGAAGCAAGGTCCCAGAGGCCTGGGGTCCCCCAGGAGGGAGGGGCCAAAGGTCCAGATCCCCCAAGTCCAGGGAGGGCGGTAGGGATCGGGTTGGGGAAAGATAACTGGGGGAAGGCCAGGGCCCCTACGCTGCAGAACCAGGTCATGTGGGGGAGGGGATCAGATTCTGGGAAGGGTGGGGTGGGCAGGGAAGGGAAACACAGAATTCTTTGGGGGTCTGAGACCCCATGCCAGCCATTGTAGGAGCTCCATAGAGCTCTGGGCACCTCTTTGCAAAGCCATGTTTGCACGGTGGGGGTAAGGGTTGGGGGGAGGGTGTGGAAACAGGGATTCTGTGTCTTTGTGTCATAACGTTGATGGAGGAGGTGAGGGAGACAGCCTTTTCCCCAATCCCCCTTCCCCAGGTCCCAGCTTCCCTTCCCTCCACCTTCTCCCCCCACATCTGTCCTATCTATACTTGTCTCTCTGTCCACCTACTCCTGGGGGGCCTCCCCCAGCTCTCCTCCAGGCGCCCCCCCCCCAGGGAGGGGGAAAGGAGTTTAGGGAGGGTGTTGGTCTCTATGGTTTTATATATAATATATTAAAAAAATAAAAAATCTGTATGAAAATATCAGATTATGCCCTCCTCCCCCATTCCTGGCTTTTGCCCCCTTTTTCTTGTTTAAAAAAGACAAAACAAAACAAAACACCACCACACAACATTTTTGTATGGGGCAGGGAGGGGAATGGGAAGGGGGTTTGGCAATTCCACTAACCACCATTAAACTGAGGAGAGAACACATGTCTGTGGTAGTTGTGTGTCTGTCCTTCTGCCCAAAGCTGCACCCTGTTGGGGGAGGGGGGGGGGAGTCGCCGGTGAACCATACAGGCCAAAATGAGGTCTCACCAAAGGCATCTTGACCCTCCTGGAGGGAGGAACTCGGTGTTTCCTAGACACTCGTTCAGCCAAACAGTCAGTCTTATGTCCTTGGTAACTACTGAGCTACCCGATCCCCACCCTATGACCTGGATCCTTGCTGTGGCTCACTCCCATCCCAGACATCAACCTCCAGGGCAGCTTTCAATTAGTCACATCTTACCCTAGTCCTGCCTTCCTCAAAACCTTACCCTGTCTCCCTACCACCTGTACAGCAAGTCAAAGTTCCTTTACCTTGTATCCCAGGCCCTTCATTCTCTAAAATTTAAATGAGTGATTCTGATTTTAGATTAAAACATATATTGACCTCTTACTTTGTGCCAGATGCTGCTCAAAGGTCTAGAGGCAACTATGTGGTGTTCCAGACAGCATAAGTCTGGAACATAAGGCCCCAAAGTGGGAAAGGGGACTCCGTGGTTTACCTTCACGAAGCTTTCACAAGGAAAAAAGAACTTAATTTCAGGTTGCCATTAAGATACAATGCAGAGGAAGGGGATGAGGAGTGCTATTTTATTTTAACTTATTATGGGAGACTTCGAACACACAAACAGGCAGAACAGGACGGTGAAGTCCATGCATCCTTCACCCCAGCTTCAAAAGCCATCTGTTCACAGCCAATCCTGCTTTATCCACAGCCCCACTCACTTTATAGCACATCTGGAGGTGCTACTTTAGAAAAAACAAACAGGGAATGCCTCTAAGATTGACATCTGTGCCAAGATATGAATGGTTAACAAGAGTAGCCAATTAAAGATCAGAGGGAAAGCATTTTTTAGGAAAAGGGAACAGCAAGGGCAGACTGGGGTGTTTGATGGGAATTGGAGTTAGGATAGAGAGAGAGGTAGGAGAGGTCAGAGGTAAACAGGACCAGGCCATGATGAAGTTTGATTTTTTCTAAGCACAATGGGATCCCACTGGAGAGTTTTAAGCTGGAATTTGAGTCACTTCCAGGAAGCCTGGACTCCTACAATATCTTCAGCATAAAGCCTGAGTTCAGCACCACCAATATACTACATAGGGGTCTTTCCCCTCCCAGATTCTGGGATCCAGGCATACTATCTGCTTTCACTTCCTCAGTCAAATCATGTATTGCTTTTCTTCTTCTTTCTCTAGGCCTTTACCATAAACCCTTCCCTCTGCCAGCAGGACTCCCATTCCATTAATCCTTGGTTTAAAGATCATCACTTTTTCAGGCTGGGGCAGACACCTCCTCTAATCTCCCCACAGCTTCCTGTGCTTCATTCATTCCAAGTCTGACCACTCGATTGTGGGTGGCTTTCCTTCCTTTGATTGGGGCATCATGACCTAGGGGCCGGGTATGTCTTGTTCCCTCGGAAACCATAGTGCCTGCTAGCCCAGGGAAATGACACACAAAAGAGCAGTCATTATCTATCCGGGTAGGAGCTGGAGGGTTCTGACCCTTGAGCCGCCTTTAGTTGATGCCAACCGATTCCTCCTAAACCAAGGCTCCCAGCTTCGCGCTACTCCGCAGCCCCTCTGCGCATGCGCCTTGCTCAGGCGCGCGGGCGCCCCCAGCCCCACATATGCTAATCACTGCGCGGCAGAGGACAGCTTTTCCGGGGAATATGCAAATCACTCCATTGGGCGCTCCAGGCCTCCATTGTCCCGCGCTAAGATTATGCAAATGGACAGGCCTCAGGGCCCGAATCCCTGCGGAGCTGGCGTTTCCCCTGCCCCCGGCTCTTCCCTGCCCCGCACACGCACGCGCGGGCCCTGCCGTTTCTCCGTCGGGCCGGCTGCGGACTGTACCAAGTGAACCCGGACCGCGAGGGGCAAAAAGCCCGGAACCCCCTGCGCCGGCCCCGCGATGGCCCGACTCGGGTAGCCCCTCTTCACACTGGGCGCCAGGAATGGTCCGTCTCGGCGCGCAAGCGCCCTAGGTTCCTCACGCCCCCCGCGCTCCTTCCCGTCTACTCGCAGCGCAGGCGCCGAGCCCGGGCGTGCAGCCGCCGCCGCCGCCGCCGCCGCCGCGCCGGAGCGGGGCCGCCCAGCCGGTGAGTGTCCGGGATCGGGCTGCGCGGGGCATGCTGGGAAGCGGGCACTGCGGCCCTGCTGCATGATGGGAGTGACGGCTCCAGTCACGGAGGCGCCGGGAGCGGTCTCGGCCGGTGATGGCCTGAGGATGAGACCTGGGCTCCCTCTGAGCGGCTCCATGCTGCCCTGGCGCAACGGGGTGGGGGTGGGGGTGGGGGGCGCCCTGCCCTAAACGTGTGGGAGTCGGTCCGCTAGTCGTGCTAGGCCTGGTGCATTCTGGGGAGAATTACTCTAGTTCTTGCGGGGGACCTTTGTTACACACCCCGCCGCGATGAGCATCTTGGAAACTAGGAGGGCTTCGACGCTTCTGGAAAGGTGGTCACTGCAGGCCTGAGGCATCCTGGGGGGAGTCGCCGCAGGGCATGATGGGGACTGGTCCTTGTGCCGTGAGACGTTTTGCTGTGGCTCCTTTCCCCCAGCGTTGCGGGAAGGGGCGCGTTAGGTTCAGGCAGGGAATCCTGGGAGTTGATGGCTACAGGCTCGGGACATTGTGGGGTCTCCTCCACCTGGCGTGTGGTAGCCTCATTTATGCCCCTCTAAAGTCCCGGGAGCCAGGCTAGCCGTCCTAGTCACTGAGGATTGGGACCTGTGCACCAAGGAATGATGCCTCTGCCCGTCCTCCGGAGTGCTCTGCAAGGGGCTCTGTGCGATGTGGAAGGGGAAGGGTAGGTGAGCAGTGTCTCCTGGTAATCTCATAGGAAGTCCCGAAGAGTTCCTGGTGTATGATTGCCAGTTGAAATACTTGATTTCAGATAAACAAATGTACGTCCCAAATATTACATGAATCCTACTATGTATATTAAGTAATTAGTTGTTTACCTGAAATTCAAACTCAATGGGTGTCGTCTGGTTTTTTTTATTGTTAATCCTCACCGAGGATATTCCATAGATTTTTAGAGAGGGTGGGAGGGATGGAGGAAAGGAAGATACTAGATAAAAATCCACGTGAGAGACACAGTGATTAGTTGTTTCCCGCCTGCAGCCTGACTAAGGACTGGGGATCAAAATTGCCACTGAGGTACCGGGAACATACCTTTGCAAGGGCAGACACTAACCCCCGAGAAACCGGCCAGGGTTCATCTGTTTTTAGTCTGGTAACCTTGTCCTGACATAAATCAAATTAAGCCCCACAGGCAATAGGGTATTATGAGAGCTGTTCTCTGCCATTATGAATCTTCTCCGTCCTTTCAAGCCCATATCTTGGTGTCTTTAGAAAGCGCTCCTGCCCCAATCTCCTTCAGATTAATTCTAATCATTTTCTCCTTAGTCCCCAGCATTAAATGTGGCTTCCATTGTACACCTATGCCCAGCACGGGCCTTGGCATATAAGAAGTGCACTGATATTGCCAGTGCCTTCACTAACTTGCTCTCCCTGTTAGGAAGTGCCTTGGGAGACAAAAAAGCGGTGTTAGGAGTGGGGGTGGGGAGGGTAATTGGTGACGAGGGAGAGAAGGCACAGGAGTCCAGAGAAGGCTTCGTGGTAGAGGCAGAGGTAGAGGTTGAGTGGGAAAGGCGTACACAGGTCCTTGTGTTTGAGGTGAGCGTTGGAGGGAGAATAGTTCTCCAGGCTGACAAGGGGGAAGGAGGACATTTTAGAGAAGAACAGCGGGATTTACTAAGACCCAAAGATGTGGAAAGACCTGGCATGCACAGGGAGAGGGAGAAGTCTGGAATGGCTGAGGTTTACAGTCGGGAGTAGGAGTAGTAACAGCTACTGTTAATGGAGTACTTGATACCTACGAGACATTTGTATGAATGAATGAACCCACTGAATCTTCGAAAAATATCTTCAGCCGAAGGATCATTTTACGAGAGGTAGGATGGCATGGCTTCAAATCCTAGTTCATGTACCTACCAATTGGTGTGACCTTGGACTACCTGTTAGTCCTCTCCCAGCCTTCATCTGTAAAAGGAGATAACCTGTTTCAAGGTGGTTAAGAGGAGTACCTGAGTTAAGTCCTGGAAGCCCTCCTCCCCCTGTTTTTTTTTTGTTTTTGTTTTTTTTCATCACTTGAAGATATTTTTCCATTGGCTTTTTTTTTTTATGTGTGTGTGTGTGTGTGTGTGTGTGTGTGTGTATACACACACACACACACACACACATATATAATTTAATTTTTTTGGTACTCACATTATCATACTTTTTAAAAAAGATAACAGGCGAAATTAATATATTTTATTTAAACTAATATATCCAAAATATCATTTTATCATGTAGTCAATATAAAATCATTAATAAGATATTTTATGTTCTTTTTTCTCCAACTCTTCAAAATCTGATGCATATTTTATGCTTACAGCCATGTCACCTCAGACGAGCCATTTCAAATGCTCTGTAGCCATAGGTGGCTCATGGCTGCTCTACTGGACAGCAATATCCTTTAAAATCATTTCCTTCAGATCAATAAGCATTGATACATCCTGTCAGCCATCTTGGATCTCTCCTCCATTGGCTTTTTTTTAGAGATGGGAGAAACGTCAATGTGAAAGAGACACATTGATTGGTTGCCTCCCACACGTGCCCTAACTAGGACCAGGGATTGAGCCTGCAACTAAGGTATGTGCCCTTGATCGGAGTCAAACCCAGGACCCTCCTGCAGTCCCCAGGCCAACGCTCTGTCTACTGAGCCAAACCACCTAGGGCTGGAAGCCCTCTTTGTCTCCAGAAGGAAACAGGCTAGAGAAGTTAAGACCTTTGCATGAAGCTACACAGTTAAAATAGGACAGATTTAGGATCCAAATCTAGATACTATCTTGCCTAGGTGTAAATTGATACAGAACTGGGGCTGATATTCACAGACTAGCACAGACATACCGGTTGTTTAAATACTTAAATACTTCTAGACTGGTTGGTATATCGCCACTACACCAGGAGTCCGTACCCCTAACTGCCATATTGAATCCTCCCCCAACCCGACTTGCCCACAATCCAGCGACTGACTGACTAATGCCTAGCATAGAATCATGTCCCAATCTCAGTTCTGAGTCATGCCCATTCTAATATCTACTGTTAAATATTTGGAATGTTATCTTTCCCCACCCCACTGAATAAGAACCACGGATATCTTTGTTGCCCAGATGGGGGAATTAAAGTCTCCATTGGCCCAGGGCCTGCAGCCAAGGCCCAGGAGGCAGCTAGGGTCAGAGCTGGGGCATCTTTGCCTTACCCCCATCACTGAGCACACAGCTAGACCTGGGAAGGCAGGTGCTATGTAAAAATTTATTGAGTTACCACTGGCCTTTCCTTTCCCCCTCCAGCATCCCTCTTCCGGCTGACATCCTGCGTTCGAGAACTTGTGGCCAAGGTATAGCTGCGGAGAGCTGGCCGGGGAGAGACGCTGCCTAGCTTCTGCTCTGCTCCCGTCTCCTCCTCCGGCCATGACAGAGACTCGTGAGCCAGCTGAGACCGGAGGCTATGCCAGCTTGGAAGACGACGACGAGGACCTCTCTCCAGGTGAGGTGGTTATAAAGCTGGTGTTGGCTTGACTGTCATCCTGACTTGGGATGGGGGCTGTGTTGGGAAGTATTGACGGGGATTGGCTCCTTGCCGTGCCAGGTGTTCTCTTCTTACTGGGACTTTATACCCTGCGCGGGGATCCCTTCCAGCTGGGACTGCTGGGGGTTCTAGACCGGCTGTGATGGTTCTCCCTGCTGGGGGTGCTAGACCGGCTGTGTGCTCTCTTGCTGGAGGTTCCAGCTCTGTGACTGCTCCTCTTTCTGGGGGTTCTAGATCGACTTCGGCCCCTCTCCTTTCTGTGGGTTCTAGATTGGGTGTGATGTCTCTCTTTTCTAGGGGTTCTAGTTTTGCTGTGATCTTGTACTTTGCTGGAGCTTCTAGATCGGCTGTGACTGCTTTTCTTGCTGGAGCTTCTAGATCGGCTGTGACCGCTTTCCCTGCTAGAGGTTTTAGATCTGTGACCACTTTCCTTGCTGAAGGTTTTAGATCTGCTGTGACCACTTTCCTTGCTGGAGGTTTTAGATCTGTGACCACTTTCCTTGCTGGAGGTTTTAGATCTGTGACCACTTTCCTTGCTGGAGATTTTAGATCTGTGACCACTTTCCTTGCTGGAGGTTTTAGATCTGCTGTCATCTCTTTCCTTGCTGGAGGTTTTAGATCTGTGACCACTTTCCTTGCTGGAGATTTTAGATCTGTGACCACTTTCCTTGCTGGAGGTTTTAGATCTGCTGTCATCTCTTTCCTTGCTGGAGGTTTTAGATCTGTGACCACTTTCCTTGCTGGAGATTTTAGATCTGTGACCACTTTCCTTGCTGGAGGTTTTAGATCTGCTGTCATCTTTTTCCTTGCTGGAGGTTTTAGATCTGTGACCTCTTTCCTTGCTGGAGGTTTTAGATCTGCTGTCATCTCTTTCCTTGCTGGAGGTTTTAGATCTGCTGTCATCTCTTTCTTTGCAGGAGCCTCTGGATCGGCTGTGATGTCTCTCTTTTCTAGGGGTTCTAGTTCGGCTGTGATCTCTTTCTTTGCTGATGCTTCTGGATCGTCTGTGACCTCTGTCCTTGCTGAGGCTAATAGATCTTCTGCGACCTTTCTCCTTGCTGGAGCTCCTAGATCTTCTGTTATTCCTCTCCTTGCTGGGGCTTCTGGATTGGCTGTGACTTCTGTCCCTTCTGAGGGTTCTAGGTTGGTATTGACGTTTCCCCTTGCTGTGGGTTCTAGACTGGTTATGTCTTCTCGTCTGGCTGGGAGTTTCCTTCCGGTTACGACTTCTTGCCCTACTATGATTTCTATTCCAACTCTGACTTCTCACCCTGCTGTGGGTCCTCTTCCGACTGCGACTTCTTGCCCGTCTGGGTGTTCTAGATCGGCTGTGACTTTGGCTCCTGCTTGAGGTGCTAGACTGGCCGCGACTTCGGGTGCCGCTGGATACGCTGCCCTGGTTGGAACTCTTGACCACGCCGACCGTTTCATTTGGGTTGTAACCCCGTTCCCTGCTAGGGGCGAACATCTGACTATAGCTCCTCACCCTCTTGAATGATGATGAGGACGGGCTGTACTCTATCTCCGTGAAGAGAATCCTGATGGGGCTGTAACTCTTTGCCCTACTGGCCAGCCTAGGACTCTTCCCCTTGTCCTTGGTTCCCGGTGGGCTGTAGCTCCTCCTCCGGCTGTTGGTTCTAGGCTGGCTATAACTCTTCCTCCCACCCTGCTTTTGCTGGGAAGGAGTTCTCACCTTGCTGGGCGTGCCTCGCTTGGCACCCTGAGTCTTCATCCTGCTGGGAGTGCTGGCCCTGCTGGGTGACCTCACGGAGTGTCTTCCCTTTCTGCCAGGGGTCCGGCCCCGGCTGTGAGTGCCCTTCCCGCGGTGGTGCCGGACTCTGCCGGCCTTGCTGGTTTTGCTGGGCCTGGTGTCGGTGCTGGCCTTGCTGGACTTCCTCCCCCTGCTGCGGACTCTGGGCCTGCTGCCGGGCTGGCTGGAAGGGTCTGTCCGCGTGCTCTCCCACCGGGCGGACCTGGAACTGCCGGGGCTCATGACCGAGTCGGCGGGCATTGCCGATTGAGCGGTCTTCAAGGAGGGAGGAGACTTGGGAGACGCTGTGGGCATCGAGGGTCCGGTGGATGCCACAGACATGCTGGGCGCTGTAGGTGGAGAAGGCATGGTGGGCACAAAAGGGCTTCCGGTCCTGGAAGTCACAGAGGACAGGAAAGCCCTGGACGACCACCTGGTTTTCTTTCGCAGAAAGAAACTTCACAGCTGCATGAAGTCATAATGGGCATGGAAGATCTTGGAGGGCCGGTGTGTGAAGTCAGAGGGGAGGATAAAGAGGGGCGGGGCCCTACCCCAAGGCAGGCGGCAAACGTCTCCTAAGGCTGACTGAGGCTCAGCATTGCTGGGGACACAGACAGGCAGATGTCTCCAGATCCTAGATCTTCTGCGACCTTTCTCCTTGCTGGGTTGTGTTAGAGCAGTGGTCAGGTTGTGTTAGAGCGGTGGTCGGCAAACTGCGGCTTGCCGCCAGACACATGCGGCTCTTGGGCCCCTTGAGTGTGGCTCTTCCACAAAATACCACGTGTGGGCACGCACGTACAGTGCGATTGAAACTTTGTGGCCCGAGAGCAAGAGCCGGTTTTCGGCTCTCAGAAGAAATGTCAGTCGTTGTGCTGTTGATATTTGGCTCTGTTGACTAATGAGCTTGCCCACCACTGTGTTAGAGGGTCCGGAGCTCGACACTGGCTGCCTGGGGAGTCAGGGAGGGCCTCACAGAGGAGGTGAGGCGTGAGCTGGGACCTTAAACAGGAGCAGGAGTTTGCTGTTAGAAATGGAGAAGGCGGCCCCAGTTGGGAGAACAGAGGCAAAAGCCTGGAGGAGGGAGGGAGACCAGGTTCCTGAGGCCACCCAAGCAGTGAACCAAAGTCTCCGCCTTTGGGGGACAAGCAATAAACACACACCCAGATGCTGATGAAATAAGCTGAGAAAAATAAAGCAGCTGGGAGGGAGTGCTGGTTAGACAGAATGGTCAGGGTGCCACTGAGAAGGTGGCGCTTGAGCAGAAATAGGGCAGAAGGGCAGGGGCAAACCTTAGTCTGTCTCCAGAAAGGCTGGCAAGGCCCTGGGGTCGTGCATGCCTGGGGTGTGGCTGCTCTGTTAACCGGATCCCTCTGGGCTGCCAGAGAAAGCTGAGGAAGGGGCCAGCGTGAACACAGGGCAGGGCCCTTGTAGTCCTAGGACAGTGGTTGGTAAACTCTTTCGTCAACAGAGCCAAATACCAACAGTACAGCGATTGAAATTTCTTTTGAGAGCCACATTTTTAAAAAAATATATATTTTATTGATTTTTTACAGAGAGAAAGAGAGAGGGATAGAGAGAATCATCGATGAGAGAGAGTCATCGATCAGCTGCCTCTTGCACACCCCCCACCAGGGATATGCCCGCAACCAAGGTACATGCCCTTGACCGGAATCGAACCCGGGACCCTTCAGTCCCCAAGCTGACGCTCTATCCATTGAGCCAAACCGATCTCGGCGAGAGCCACATTTTTAAAACTTTTTCTAACACCACTTCTTCGAAACAGATTTTCCCAGGCCATGGTATTTTGTGGAAGGGCCACACTCAAGGGGCCAAAGAGCCGCATGTGGCTCAAGAGCCGCCGTTTGCCGACCACGCATATAGTACAACACCTTCCCTGAATACACTGTCCCAGTTGCCTACAGAATTCAGTACAGTAACGTGCTGTATGGGTGTGCAGCCCAGGAACTGTAGGGGAACATAATTTGGCACCCCCAGATACAGTTAACCCTCAAACAACACAGGTTTGAACTTCTCAGGCTCGTTCCTAAAGAGGATTGATTGTTCACTTGACCCCCTTAGCCCAAACCCAGGGCATTCAAAGGGTCTATTTAGCGTAAGGATTATTTTCAACTTCCTCCCCTCTACACCTCCCCCCCCCCCCCCATGAAAAAGCAGCACGGGAGAAGCTCTGAAAACCCAGAAGTTACCCTTTATAAAAGGCATTTACATCTGTAAGGGTGTCTCCTGCGAGAACCAGGAAGGGGGATGACCTTATCTCTAGAAATTTTCATCCTTCTGGGAAGACTAGGACTTAAATCTGCATAACAACCTTACCCTTGTCTACCACTATTTCCGGTAATCTGCCATAGCTGACCCCTTCCTCCCCCCCACCCAACATCTTATCTTCAACAGGAAGGTATTTAAGTAAGGTGACCAGCGATCCCGCTTTTGGCAGGACAGTCCCGATTTTTAACAATTTTTCCCGCGGCGTCTTAAAAAAGATTTAATCGGGACTTTTTAAAGACGCCGGGGACAAATTGTTAAAAATCAGGACTGTCCCGCCAAAAGCGGGATGTCCAGTCACCTTATATTTAAGGTGATAGTGGCTTTAGCCATTTTGGTGAGCTATTCTGTTTTCCTGAGTCTTCCATGTATACGGGTTACTAGACTTTTTTTTTTTCTCTCCTGTGAGTCTGCCTTTATTACAGGGATGTCTCGGCCAACAACACAGAAGGACAGAGGGAGCTTATTTTTGCTCCCCACAGAGTAATACCCCGGGTGTGTAGTAGGCTAGACTGCCTAGATTTGTGTAAGAGCAACCGGTAATGCTCACACAACAACAGAATTGCCAAATGAATCATCTCTTAAAACACACCCCTTTCATGAAGCAGCACGTGACTGTATATAAAACCACATATATCAAAGTACATATAGATCGTGTGTTTTATTTCGTTTAAATATCTGTTCAAATGTTTGTCTGTCTCCCTAAAGTGACCCACAGAGGCCGTCACCCATATTTAGCTTTCCCCGTTAGAACTGTACGACTAGAGGCCTGACTGCTCTGTTCCTCAGTTTCCCCAGTTGTCACTTAGGAATAATTACAGTGCCTTCCTCACAGGTTGCTGTGCGGATTAGGTGAGTTACTATGTGAGACTGGGGCTCTTCCAAAAGCAACGGACACAGCTGCTGCCGCTGCCGCCGCCCCCACTTTTACTCCCATTTTGTCCTTAATAACACCCCAAGAGACAGTTCTTTTTTAAAAAAATATATTTTATTGATTTTTCACAGAGAGGAAGGGAAAGGGATGAGAGAGAAACATCGACCAGCTGCCTCCTGCACACCCCCACCACTGGGGACGTGCCCGCAACCAAGGTGCATGCCCTTGACCGGAATCGAACCTGGGACCTTTCAGACCGCAGGCTGACGCTCTATCCACTGAGCCAAACTGGTTTCGGCAAGATACCATTCTTACAAGATTGATTTGCTGAACCCACAGACACTGAGCACCTACTGTGTGTGGGCCCTGTTCTTTGCCGGGGGCAGCCGTCTGCGGGGAAGGGCAGGATTGTGCCCAAGCCCCCCTCCCATCTGAGGTTGAGTCTGGCTGAATGGGGCTCAGGGAGGGGACAGCCGCCCAGGCACGGGCCTCTGTCCTCTGATGCCGCTGTCTCTCCTCACCCGTCCCCCGACAGGCCCTGAGCACTCCTCTAATTCTGAATACACACACTCAGAGCCGGACTCCGAAGAGGAAGAAGAAGAGGAGGAGGAGGAAGAGGAGACCACCGACGACCCCGAATATGACCCAGGCTACAAAGTGAAGCAGCGCCTGGGAGGGGGCCGCGGGGGCCCCTCCCGCCGGGCTCCCCGCGCAGCCCAGCCCCCCGACCCCCCAGCCCAGCCCTGCCAGCTCTGCGGCCGCTCGTCCCTCGGGGAGGCCCCACCAGGCGCCCCGCCTTGCCGGCTCTGCTGTCCCACCGTGGCCCCCCAGGAAGCACCAGCTCCCGAAGTCAGGGTGCTCGGGGAGGGAGAGGGAGAGCCGCCCCGGGCTGGGGAGGGCCGGCGCCACCCTGCGGGGCAGGAGGAGGAGCTGGACGAGGATGAGGACGAGGAGGGCACCTACCACTGCACGGAGTGCGAGGATTCCTTCGACAGCCTCGGGGAGCTGCATGGGCACTTCATGCTGCATGCCCGGGGTGAGGTGTAGGCACAGCCCCTGCCCAGAAGCTTGGCGGGAGGGGTGAGGTGGGAGGAGGGGGACGGAGCACTGCCTATCTGTGTCGTCTCAGCGGTATGTGTGAGGCCAGAATAAAAGCCAAATTCTGTGTGTCGGTCCAGCGTGTGTTTGGTGTTCGTGTGTGTGTGTGTGCTCGTGTGTGTTTTTACACTCCAGCATATGAGGCATACGCCTGGGCATCTGTCTGCCCCTCCCCCCCCGGGCTCCTTCTAGAGCAGTGGGTCTCAGCCTTTTTAATGCCACGGCCCTTTCATACAGTTCCTCATGTGGTGGCCCCCAGCCATAAAATTGTTTTCGTTGCTACTTCATAACTAACTTTGCTACTGCTATGAATCGTAACGTAAATATCTGTGTTTTCCGATGGTCTTTGGCGACCCTGCTAGCGGTTGTTAACCTGTGGAAAACACAGATATTTACATTACGATTCATTAACAGTAGCAACATTACAGTTTGGAAGTAGCAACCAAAATAGTTTTATGGTGGGGGTCACCACAATCTGAGGAACTGGATTAAAGGGCCACGGCATTAGGAAGGTTGAGAACCACGGTTCTTGAGGGAACTTTAGGTTTGTTGTTGCCTAGATGATTACATTTACTAAGCACTGCGTTCAGTGTGGTTTCCATGTATTTACTCACAGAACCCATGATGTGCAGGCTCCAGCACAACAGAATTTTGTTTCTTGTTCACATTATAGCCCAGTGGGTATTTCAGGTTTGCAAGCATCCATCTAATGATTTGGGAACCCAGACCACCTCTGAAAGTCACTGTCATCCATTTGGTTATGGCTTGGGAGCTTGGGAAGGTATTCTTTTATAAGCCCCAGCCCCGCCCACAAGTGGCCCGTGCTGCTTGCACTTATGCCTCGTGGCCACTGCTCACTGCAGGGGAGTCTGGGAAGGCGGCCCAGCCAAGTGCCCAGAAAGCAGGAGAACGGTTTGTGGAGGACAGCTCCTGTTCCCTGTCACTTCCCCTAACAACCTGCACAAAGAGGACTTTCATTATAATCACAGTTTCCTGTGCCAAGTGCGAGCCCAAGAGCTTTCTAGATGCTGTGCGTCTAGGAACTTACAAAAATAGAAAAGTACAATCAATTGCCATTTTCCCAGCACTTACAGCCATGAGATCATCCAGCCTTAGAACAGCTCGGAGGGAGGGACTGTGATTCATTAGTTCGTTTCACAGACATTGTTTGAGGACCTGTGTGGTAAGCATTGGGAATAAGCCAATGAAATCCTTGTCCTCGGTGCTTATAGGGGGGCAGAAAGGGGCCATTGGTGGGGACAGACAGTGAACAAGATGAAGCATGTGCTGGGTGATGGCTGCTGTGCAGAAGAGGCAGGGGAGGGGGTTGCAATTTTTTAGAATATGTTTACTAGAGGCCTGGTGCACAAAATTTGTGTGGGTAAGGTCCCTAGGCCTGGCTGGTGATCAGGGCTGATCTGTGGAGTGACAGCAGAGCGATTAGGGGACCTCTGCTGGCACCTGCCTTGGCTGGCCTGGTGCCGCCCACTCAGCTGGCCATTGCTGGTTGCCTTCCTCTGCAAGGTAATGGGCGGGGGGGTAGCACTGGCACCCTCTTAGCTGGCCTGGCAGCTGGGGGCAGCCCCTGTATTGAGCCTTTGCCCCCTGGTGGTCAGTGTGTGTCATAGTGACTGGTCATTCCACTATTCAGTAGATTTGCATATTAGGCTTTTATTATATAGGATTAATTTCAGAGAGGAAGGGAGAGAAAGATAGAAACATCAATGATGAGAGAATCATCCTGCACAACCTCTACTGAGGATTGAGCCTGCAACCCAGGCGCTCTGACCAGGAATTGAACCATGACCTGGTTCTCAGGTACACACTCAACCACTGAGCCACACCTGTCCGTGGGGGTTGCAGTTTTAAAGAGTGTAATCTTCCCTGAGGAGGTGACAGACCTGAAGGAGCGGGATAGGAGGAGCTGTGCACAGCGGTAGGAAGATCATTCCGGGTAGAAAGAGGCAGGGGTTTGTCAGATTCAGGAAGACCAGAGGCCCTGGAGAAGGAAGGAGGGCAGAGCTGGAGGGGAGCAGGGGGCCAATCCTTACAACTTTGTCCCCGCTTTGGCTCTTGCTCTGAGATGAGAAGTACTATTATAATTCACAGAAGCTTGGCACCATAGAAGCCTAATTATTATTATGATAGCTATGATTTACTGAGCATTTATTGTGTGCCAATCCTGTTCTAAGGCGTTTTACTTGTGTTAACTCAGAAGCTTGGCCACTAAGAACCTTCGAGAATAGAACCGGAATTTCCACAATGACCATCAAGTCATCGCTCACAGTGGACCAGGCCATGGGCTAAGCGCAAAGGTAGGGACTGTTACTTATTTACTTATTTAATCTATATTTTTATTGGTTTCAGAGAGAGAGAAACATCAATGATGTGAGAGAATCATCGGTTTGCTGCCTCCTGCATACCCCCAACTATGGATTGGGCCCAAAACCTGGGCATGTGGCCTTGACCAGAATCAAACCTGGGACCCTTCAGTACACAGGCTGGCGCTCTATCTACTGAGCCAAACCGGCCAGGGCAGGACTGTTATTTATTTACTCATTCATTTAACAACGATTTGTTGAGCATCTATGAGATGCAGGCACTATTTTGGGAGCTGGGAATAGAATGGCGAACATGATGAACAAAAAGCATTACCTTTGTGGAAGCTAACCTGGGGAAGACAGACACTTTAGATATTTAAGCAAAATATAAAATTCACTAGAGGCCTTATGCCCTGATAAGGGGTTGGGGGAGGGGGGGCACATCCCTCAATCTGGCCTACTCCCCAGGGGATCAGGCCTAAGCTGGCAGTTAGACATCTGTCTGGCAGCCAGGGAGCCCTGGAGGGATGTCCAGCTGACAGCTTACGGAATCCCCGCAGTTGCTCATCCTCAGCCCTGATTGTGGTTGAGTGGAGCTCACCCTATGGGAGGCACTGACCACCAGGGGGCAGCTGTGGTCAGTGCACATCATGCGACTGGTAGTTCCCCAGTTGTTACACCACCAGGGTCAGTTTGCATATTACCCTTTTATTATGTAGGATTATTATCTAGGATATACTGTAGGAAGGTAGAAAGTGCTGTGGAGGGAAAGGGGATAGCGAGGCGTGTGTGTGTGTGTGTGTGTGTGTGTGTGTGTGTGTGAGACACAGTTCCAAGCAGTGGGGTGGTCCAGGAAGGCTTCACGGAGAAGGTGACGGGACAGAGACCTAGAGGAGGGGAAGAGGGAGTTTGTGGCTGTCTGCAGGAACAGCAGGTGCAAAGGCCTGCGGGAGAGCCTGCTTGGGATGTTAGTGAGGAAGCAGACCAGTACACTGACTTTGGCTTCTCTCTAAGTCTCAGTCATCGTCATAATCTTTAGAGGCACAGGGTCTGCCACCATGATCATTTTACAGCTGCTACAGCTGGGGCAGACACTGAGTTAGCCCCCCAGTAACTAGCGGGACGCAGACTTGATCCCAGACAACTGGATGCAGGGCACATAGCCTTGGCCATGAAGCCACCAGAAATAACACCTTCTGACTTGCAGGAGTGTGTTTAGTCTCCACAGAATTATTGAGACTTTTCAATCACGTTGATTACCAACATTTAAAAATGGGCAGCCCGGCTGGTGTGGCTCAGTAGACCCATGAACCAGGAGGTCAGTTGGATTTGCCAGGATTGCAGGCTTAATCCCCGGTATGGGGCACGCAGGAGGTATTATTATTATTAATTATTATTATTATTATTATTTTAAACGTAGGTCTTTTTATTTTTTAATATATTGATTTTTTACAGAGAGGAAGAGAGAGGGACAGAGAGCCAGAAACATCGATGAGAGAGAATCATCGATCAGCTGCCTCCTGCACATCCCCCACTGGGGATGTGCCCGCAACCAAGGTACATGCCCTTGGCCGGAATCGAACCCGGGACCTTTCAGTCCGCAGACCGACGCTCTATCCACTGAGCCAAACCGGTTTCGGCAGGAGGCATTATTATTGATGTTTCTGTCTCTCTCCCTCTCTCTTCTCTGAAATCAATTTAAAAAAATTTTTTTTTAATGCTCTGATTTGCTCTGGCTGCTGTGGCTCAGTTGGTAGAGTGTCGTCCTGCCAAGGTCGAGGATTTGATTCCCAGACAGGGTGCATGTGGGAGGCAACTGATCAATGTTTCTCTCCCTCTCACTTCCCCTCCCTCTAAAAATCAAAAGAAAATGTCCTCCAGGCAGATTTTATATAGAAATGAAGGTGTCTGGCTTCTCTTGAAAAACTGTAATCTAGATTGCTAAACCCACAATCCCATGGGGCAGTGATTTAAGGGAGCTGAGTAAGGGTCACCTCGGGTTAGTGTGGGCAGGCCCTGCCATGTGCCCAGTCCCCAACACCTGGTATCTGGACCTTTCATTCCTGCTTGCTTCATTGATTTATATTACCTGCTGGGCCCAAAGAACATTTATATTTTTAAATATATATATATTTTGTTGATTTTTTACAGAGAGGAAGGGAAAGGGATAGAGAGTTAGAAACATCGATGATTGAGAAATATTGATCAGCTGCCTCTTGCACACCACACCTGCATCTGGGGATGTGCCTGCAACCAAGGTACATGCCCTTGATGGGAATCTAACCTGGAACCCTTGAGTCCGCAAGCCGATTCTCCATCTACTGAGCCAAACCGGTCAGGGCAACACCTGCATTTTGATGCCAGTTATAGGATGTTAGACCAAAGCATCTTTCATCTTTTTTTTTTTTTTTTTTTTTAAGTTTAATTTTAGAGAGAGGAGAGGAGAGACAGAGACAAAGATATCAATTTGAGAAACACTGATTGGTCACCTCTCACACGTGCTCCAACTGGGGCTCTAACCTGTAACCTGGGTATGTCCCTGACTGAGTCAAACTGGCTACCTTTGGTGCACAGAACAACACTCCAACCAACTGAACTACACTGGCCAGGGCAACCAAAACATTTCTC